ATTTTATTCAAAAACTATTACATGAGCAACTATTTGAAATTAAAATAGCAATTATTAGTAATTATTATACTTTTGCTTCCATCTTTTCTTGTCGAAATTTTGATGAAACTGATTTGCAATACATTGTTCGCCAATTATCTTTGCTAATTGCCCGAATCCCTTGCATTAGATAATTAGCCACTTCGACATCAACTGACTGCTGCTGTTTTCTTTGCTCCATTTGATTTGCTGTTCGCCTAAACTGGAATCATTCGCCGATCAAATAAGTAATTCTGAATTTCAATTTACAACTAATTAAGTAAAAAGTTGTTATATTTATGACTTGCAGAATTATGCTAAATCTAAGATGGATTAAAACATCGAAACTTTTATTGATATATGCATATATTAATGCATAATGCGTATTTTCGTTTTTACTAGCAATTTTTTATGTATTAAAACTTCAACACATTGCTTAACTGAATACTTTTAATGAAATTACTGAGGCTACTTGTCGAAGATTTGTGAGCTTAAAGATTAAAAGCTCTAATTTTTATCATTTGCGTGTAAGTTATCTAATATAATTGGTATTTGAAATGTAGAGATAAAAAGAATTGAATTATTAAATATATGTTTAAGTATATTTTATGAGTTTATGTAAGAAAAATGAGAGCAATAACCTGACGCTATCACGACACCAAGATTTCTGCTTTCCACTGCCATAGCCGGTCATTCGAAGCCCTTTTTCAAGTAAGGGAGCATTCGTTTGTAATGCGATTTCCTGCAACTAATAATCCTTCTAGACTTACTGATTCAAAGTCGAATTCAAGACTGTAATCTAAATATCTTACTGAAAATGAATTGGGAATACATTTTCAATGTGATGAATTTGTGTATCGTAGAATAATAATGTGTGAATGTAAAAGTGTTAATACTTATTTTGAAAAAATTCATCATCAAATATAAGCAATCACACTTTACACACGTTGATTTTGAATAAAATTTCTCATCTTGATTTCGAACAGGTATTTATTGAATTTTACCATCATTTAATAAGTATTTATTAAAATTCACAAATTTCAAATTGATATTAACTAAACTTGTAAGTTAAATGGATACCAATTCAAATAGTACAAGTTTTAATATGCAAATCATGTACATAAAATATAAATTTGTACCGCATGTTTGTCGTCATCAACGATAAAATATGTTTTCACTTTATGTTCAGCCAAATATTTGGAACGTTGATCACCGTGACCATCTTCCACGTGATACACGTCACCCAAACATTTCAATGTTGCTTCGGTGATGTGAATGCGTCTAAAAATGATGAATAATTTGATAATTACACTCAAAAAAACAATGAATATTGCCGAATATTGTCAGATTTTTTTTTTGATTTGTAATGAGAATGTAGCGTTTTATCTGATCTTTTCTCGACTGATCAGTGTTAACAATTGAACTTTACTAATTATTCATAGTTCGTCTATGCATTCACCAAACTGATAAAACAAAAAATAGCTTATCAGTTACCCAGGTAATCCACCACTTTCCATGTGATTTGCTAACGTTACATCATCACTCCACACGTCAAATTGCCATTTTTTTAGGCCAAGTACACCACAGTGAGCACGACCAGTATGAATGCCAACACGCATATTTACATTCACGCCCGTCACCTCACGCACTAACCTATAGCAGCAGCATAACATATATTAACTCTACCAGACTACTAAAAGACTTCTTTTGCAAATAATGAAAAAATTCGAAAAAATTTTCTGATGCACTAGTAACTCAATGTTTGTTGTCTTAAGTAAAAATTAAACAAGTATCAGTATTTTTATAAAATAATGCTTGCTTTGTGAATGAATGAACTTACGAATCATTTTTACAACACTCTATGAAACAAGCCAATTAATGATTTATTATTATAAAAAATAAAATTCAGTATTAATTACAACTAAAGTAATAACTGCTAATTAATACGGAGGCAATGAAGTTTTAAATTCGATCGTAGAAAAGTACCAATATATTTTATGAAAACGTGATTTTTTTATTTGATGAGAAAACGTGCTAAATACTAGCAAGCAGTATTACTAAGTTCTGTCATGTATATTGATGTATTATGAAGATAAATTTAATACTATTTGGATTGAGTGTTGTCACGTGAACTTATTTTCTGCGTAGCATGAATTGAAACATACTGATTAGAGAATGATCTCAAAAAATACTAGTAGATCGAATACTGACTTTAGGTGCTTCTATAAAAGTTCAACAAAAAAGTAAAAGCTAACATAGACGTTAATAACTTAATTAATTACTTGCTTGAAATAACTTACTTAATTGCTTCAATCATTTCTAGTCCCATTTCCACAGCGCACTGCGCATGATTTGCGCGATATTCAGGCAAACCAGAGACGCAGTAATAACAATCACCGAGAATTTTAATTCTCATACAGTGATTACGATATGCCAAATGGTCAAACCGTGCAAAAAGATTATTCAAAAGTTGTACCAGTTCATCGGCATTACATTCTGATGCAAGATTGGTAAAACCACAAATATCGGCAAACAAAATACTAAAATTCAAAAACAGCAAGTAACGATTCACATATTTATTTTAATTTCATTACTGCATTTTTTTTT